CCCCCTCCCCGCCCCTCGCCCCGCGGCGGTCCCTCCGAGGACTCACTCTCCCCGAGCCTGCCCCGCTGGGCACTGCAGAGCCGGCGCGGCACTGACAGCGGCTGCGCAGACGCGGGCGGGCGGGGTGGGGAGAAGGGGGTGGGCCGGCTGCTCCTCTCTGCGGCCCTGGGGACCCTCCGCTTGCCGGGGTGAGGCGCGGCAGCGGGGGCCACAGTGACGCCGCGTTCTCGGGGCGCTTGCGGGGCGGGCGGGGCTGAAGGAGCGCTTCCTACGGTCCTGAGGGTCGCCTGAAGTGGGAGCGCCATCCGCACCCCGCTGGTGGGCACATAGGGTGTCCCCCCCGTCCCCTGCAGCAGGCGCCCGATGTCCCTTCGAGGCTCTGCGGTCTACAAAGGGGGGGCGGCTGTGGCAGCGCCCTGGGGCCCCTGAGGTCAGAGCCTGGCTGTGCCCTTTGCTCCCAGGGCGCCCTCGCGCGGGTCGCTGCTCAGCTCCGGGCCTCAGTGTCCCTGTCCATAAAAGGGGAACTGACCCCCTGCCAGGACTGAAGGTCAAGGAATTAATGTATGTAGGGTGCACAGCGGGGAGTCCCTGCGTGTCGGAAAGGGTCGAGCACCTGATGAACGGAACGTGGGGCGGTTCCAAGCCGCTCCGAGGTGCCCGGAAGGCAGGCCTGGCGCTCGGCTCCGAGTCACCGCGCTGAAGGCTCCGCGGGACAGTTCCACGGCGCGCGCGTGCCAGCCCGGATCGGAGCCAACAGCAGCGACGAGCCCAGCGGCTGCCATCGCCGTCTGCAGTACTATTCCAATTTCCGGTACAACCACGGCCGTAGCCCCGGCTCCGATCCACGACGACCCCACGTGTGCCGGCGTGGAACTGTGCCCCGCGGGGTTTCCAGGGCTGGTCTTTGGGAAGAGGATGGCCAGGCCTTGCTTCCTGGTCTTCAAGGCCCTCTGGACCAGTCCTGCGCACGCACGGGGTTGCCATGGGTCGGAACCAACCAGCCAGCAACAAGCAACGACGGCGACCAAGGGCCCTGTGGCTGCCGGGACAGTAGCGCGATTCTGTTTGAGAAGAGTCACCAAACCAGCTGCCATGGAGCCGAGTCAAGTGGGTGTGTGCAGGCCCTGCGTTGGCTGCGGGGGTGACCGCTGCCCATGGGGACAGACACCTGTTAGTGAAGCAGACTTTAAGTGTTTGGCGCCTGCGTTTCTGAGACTAACGCCAGCGGAGAGCCTGGCTTACTCAGACATCAGCGTTTGGAGATCCTGGAAGGTGAGGGTGGGCTCAGGAACCAGGTTAAAAAAAAAAAAAGAAAGAAAAGAAAACTATTGCTACAAGCCAACTTTGACTCACGGCCACGCCATGTGTTACAGACTAGGACTGCCCCATGGAGGTGTTTCTTTTTCATCAAATGTTTGTTGTGAGGTAATTAGAGGCGTGCAGTTGTGAGAACTACCAAAGAGATTTCATGTACCTACAGTTTCCGCACACCTCAACTAGGACCAACCGGACGATGGCATTGCCATGGCCGAAATGAAGGACACTTCCATCACCTCAAGAACCCCTCAGGTTGTATTTCATAGCCACAACCAGCCACTCCTGCCAACGAACTTTTTTTTTTTTTTTTTTAATTACTGTTTGTACACAGTGGGAAGTCCTTCGGGTCTTCTTGGCTGTGATATTTGTAGAAGCAGACAGTCCAGTGGGTCTTCTTGGCTGTGATATTTCTGGAAGCAGATCTTCCGGCGGGTCTTCTTGGCTGTTATATTTCTGGAAGCAGACTGAAGGACGTTTGATCCATGGCACTGCGGGGTGGGTTTGGACTCAGTCTTTAAATTGCTTGCTACTATGGTTTGGTACCATGGTGTCGATCAGACTCGTAGAGACCCCATGTGACAGAGTAAAACTGACCCAGAGGGTTTTCTAGGCTGAAAACTTTATGGGATTTCAGGGTGCCACAATGGTTAAGTGCTTGGTTGCTGACCGAAACGTCGGCTGTTCAAGTCCACCAGCCACTCCGCAGGAGAAAACACTTGCTTGTTGGTTCCTGCAAAGATCACAGCCTAGGAGGCCCGATAGAGCAGCTGTGCGCTGTCCCGTGGGGTTGTCTGTTATGAGTTGGAATTGACCAGACAGCAACGGGGTGGGGTTTGGCTTCGTTTTTTGCACTAACCTAAAATATTGGTGGTTCGAAACCACCCAGCGGCTCTGAGGAAGAAAGCCGTGGAAACCCTGTGGGGCAGTTCTACTCGGTCCTGGAGGGTCACCAGGACTGGCAGTGTGCTCCGCGGCACTCCACAAACGACCGTCCTGACTGGAGCAGCTGGCCAGCTCTGAGTCCCGGCCGAGCTGCTCGCGGGGTTCTAGCCGCCAGCTTTTGGTTGGTCGCAGAGCGCTTAACCGTTGCGCCACCGTGATTAGCCGCCAATGCCAAGCTGCTGGTGCGGTGCAGGGACTTGGGACGCAGACGCAGGCTCTGGCGCTGTCCGCGGTGCTGACTTCAGCAGACGGGAGCTGTCCGCGGTGCTGACTACGGATCGCTAGACAGAACGGCTGGAAGAGGGCTCCTTTCCGCCGTCCGTACCCCAAGACCCTACCCGCCTGGGAAACGCCTGCTGTTGCCTAGGGACAAGGCTGTGTGAGCCATGAGGCGCTTGAGATGAGAGCAGGTGAGGGAAAAAGTGCAGCGTCACCCCAGTGTCAGGCTTGGCTGCAACCCAACTCAAATTACTAACGCGGAGTGCCCCAAATAGTTCGGGGGA